TTTGTGTCAAAATAGCGCAAACTATAATACTGCATGAACGTATTGGCCGACCAATAACTCTCTAATGTAAGATGCCCACAATCCCCACTATTTACCACTCCTACGCTGCTTCAACGCAGCCGCAGTGGCGCAATGGTAGATTCCGGTACACTTTTTTAACACTGGATCGGCGATCTCTCAACTAATCTCTTGCGCTTCTCATGCCGGCTCAGCCGATGCAATGAGGAGCGCAAAAGATCAGACATTATGGGGGCGTTTCGGCCTCAATTCGGTTGAAGCGCCCCTAGTCTAGGCAAACGTTTCGGAAGAGTCAAGCAAACAGGTACCTGATGGAGGCTTTGATGGTTTACAGGCCCGTAGGTGTGTGGGGCAAGATCGTGGGCTCGCTCTGTGCGATAGCGGGCGTGCTCACCATTGCGCTTCCCGTGCCCGTCATCGTCTCCAACTTCAACTACTTCTATCACCGTGAGACTGATCAGGAGGAGATGCAGTCGCAGAACTTCAACCATGTGACGAGTTGTCCGTATTTGCCCGGCACCCTCGGCCAACACATGAAAAAAGTAACTCCTCATCCGAGAAGCGCTTCTGCTGTTTATTGACACCTGCATGCGCGCTATTTTGCAGGGATCGTTGAGCGAGTCGTCCAGCGACTTGGTGGAACTTGAGGAGGGGCTGCTGGTGACGAGAGAGCAGCTGGCGCGCAAACAGAACTGCAACCCGCGTCGTCACAACAACAACATCAACGCTGTTACAATGGAGACTGACGTTTGACTACAAGGTAACGAAAGGTCCTGGTTGTCCTCCAACCCTCCAGTTCATATTTACTCTTTGGTTTCTTTAGTCCGGTCCGGCAAATCATCTGCAATTGATGATTGATATTGCGACATTCCTCCCTTTTACCATGCCGATTGTCGTCAAGGAAAAATCGTAAATCCCCCTACGCCCTTAACAAATCCCATTCTCGGCAATTCTTTTAGTTGCTTCCGTTCCCGACTCTCCCAATAATTTCCTCGTACGTTCGGACGTTTCCGTTGCATGTCGATGAGAAGGGCGGCTTGCGGCGACAATCGGTTGCCACAGCAACGCGTGATGCGCCGAAGGGCCGCTCGATACGTTCGGTCGCAGAGCCGTCCCTTCGGTTGCTGTCATGGACCTCACAATGCTGCCAGACTGTGCCTAAAGTCTCATAAGTAACAGATAGATATTTATTGAAAGCCGAGGTACCGATTCGGCGGAAAACAGCTCAAAGTGGGTTTTCTCAAAACAGTTAAAATGGTGGTTTTTTTTGCAAAATACACAACGTGAGGTCATGGAATGTCGCGGAAGCTGGATGCAAATGATGTGCATATGTACAAGCGGGCCACCAGAACCTCAATATTTTTTAGAACAGTCGAAAGTCGCACTGTTGTTTCGTTGGGACGAACGAAAATATAATGTATTTTGTACTATGTACACGGTGATAACCTTTTGAACCCTTCGAAAACCTTCAACCCAGTAAAAATCAACCATACGTAACGAATTACGCTTTCTCATAGAATTAACTGGCGGAATTAATTGTCGGCTTTAATCCGCTTTAATAAATACAATTTATATCTCATTAACCGATGAGTTATAACTCAGAGCAAGGGCGGTT